GAGAAAATCTCAGGACACTGCCTAAGCGGAAACAACCGTGTGGATAATATTATAATGTTTCAAAAGTTCAGTAACTTAAAGCAAATAACCAGAATAACGCTTAGTGCCTTGCAGGTTAACAATTTGTAAAACTGTTATTAGTATATAATATTCAACCTTGTTATTCTCGAGTCTTCCCCGCCGTGATGGTATATAATTCCGTTTGGTTCATGTCCGTGGTCGGAAGCCATCATAGTGGTGCACTCACTCACTCACTCACTCTACGCAAATGTTTGCCAGCTAATATTTTTTTCCCATGGCAGATTGTGAACAGTTACAGTGTAACACAGTTCATTAATCTATACAAGGCCAGATGTGGTGGTCTCTTTATTATGGAGGCACCTAATAGGTGGGCCATCATCGCCTCCTATGAAGGGACGGACAATTACAACCATACCTCCTCCGCGATTCGAACCCAGAAACTTAGCTATCGCAGTCTGGGAGACGCCTACTGATATTTATATATTACATATTTACCAAATGCCACATGATAACCTATTATTGACATGTAACAATATTATTGAACTTAATGAGATTGAAGTGTATCGTACACTTGTTGGCTTACAGTAAATTATTTCTGTTGTGTAAACTAGTAAATATGTCACACACATTCAGCATTCTTAAACAATAAATATTCTATAAAATATTAATTTATCTTTCTGTGTTATTTAAGTCAACTAAAAATGCAAATACGAAAATAAATTAAAATCAAGTTGTTTCAAAAGAAGTAAAAAGCTGTTAGATAACAGGAATTCGAGGTACATGAAGTTCCGATAAACCAGAGCCCGAATAATCTCACTTCTGCTGTATAAAAAATTAAGAAAGGCTTTACAAAAATAACAAATGTAAGCTATAATAGTTTAAAAATTTTGAAAGAAAATAACTAAGTAATCTAACGTCTTGAGGAAAGTTTAAATCATTTAAAATGTGGTAAAAATGTTGGTTGAATCTAAAACTTTTCTCCGTATGTCAAGAGATCATAAGCGAGTCGTCTTTAAAATGCTTGTTGTTTTCGTTTGCAGCACTGTTAATCTAAAACTTACATTTTTTCCTAATTTTAAATTTATAATATAAGTGATGAATTACATACCGTATAAATGCTTGGTTACTTATACGAGACAAATGCTGTTTTAAAAAGTAGGCATTTTAAAGAGAAAAACCATCATCTTATATTTCAGCCACTTTAATGGTTGGCAATTGGTGAAATTACTACATAAACATAATAACGAGCAATTTATTTCGTTTTAAGCAAAATAGATATAGAATTAAATACTGAAATAAGTTTTAAGTTAGAGTTTAAGAGAATTAGTTACCATATTTTTATTTATGTGTTACCTTAAGCTCCAGGAAATTCCAATTTTTGAAATAACAGTAACGTTTAAGAATTTTTCTCCCGAGGCAAAATATTTTTCCTATGGAAAATTGAATGACATAAATTTTCCCCCGCCAGACTTATCATGGCATCTCTGAAGGATCAACTTTCTCCGGCAAAGTCAAAATTTTCTCCAGGAAAACTTTTTATGAGAAAAGAATTCCCTAACTTTTATTTTGATGACATGTCATAAAATTCTCGACATGAAGGAATAATTTCATCTCTAGAGGGAAACATTTATTTTTGAGTCCTATAGAACAAATAAGAATTTTTAAAATATAAATAGGGCAGCCAAAGTGTATATAAAAATAGTGTTATTAATTATATTTCAAAACATTTACCTATAACAAAAATAACAAGTTTAAAATATTAAAAATATGCAAGAATATTAAAATATTTTTATTTGTGCCCTAAACTTCATTTAAATAATTAAAAGATTTCATATTTTTGATGATATTCACAAAAAATAGTTAGAAGAAATTAATTAATAGATGAATTTTCAATTTACTATGAATTATCATTAGGTATATCAGTAGACATTTACAATTAAATGATTGGTAACAATTCCTTACGACCCCATTAATGTAAATCTTTTTCGTTTCAACAAATTAATGTGTAATTTCATGTTATTTGTAGATTAAAAATTTTAAATATGATTAACAGCTTATTAACTCGTTGACTTTTCTGAAAAAATATAATTCAATGAGGTGCTATTTTAATAAATTAATTAACATAATTCAGTTTAACGTGAGAAACGTAAAAGTAATTTTAATAACTAATTATTTGATAAATAATTGTATTACTTGAAATTCGTAAAACATCGCTTGAATTCTTACGAAAGTTTCCTACAGCTATTTAATATTTCATTAATTTAATATATTTTATATTATTAATAACAAATAAAATGTTACATATTTTTAGCATCTGAAGAAGAATTAATATTTTTAGTATACCAACTGATAACAAATGGCATGAAATGCGATAAATGTTAAATATTGTCATTGAATCGTAACAGCGAGACAAAATATTAGAAGTCATCTAATATTGCATAAATACTGATATGCGTTCAACTATGTAGATTTATGTCTTATTTTAAAAAAATATTATAAGTAATACAGAATAAATTCTTGAAAATCATTTTTAATGCCCCTTTATTTGACTGCAGCGCAAATCCTTACATAGATTTAAATGTGTAATATGAGGAATTGACATTTTTCCCACATTGCTGAAAATCCTGGAAAAACTGAGAAGATCGTAGCTAAAAATTCTAGGCCATTCTACTTAACTTTATCAGAATCATGCAGCATCTTTTAAACTGAAGTAACTGGCATATGCTTTAAGGAAAGTGATATGTACATCATTCTTCAAGCAATGCCCTTACGAAATTATGTGATTTATATACGCAAAGCCTACATGTGTCAAAAGATTTTTGGAACCTACATGTGTTAGCATATAAGAGTTTCAGGCGAGTGTATGTATGCTAGTGGTTTCCAACTGGCTGCTCGCATATCCTGCATGTGGCCTTTGAAGCAATTTCACACAGTCCATGAATATAGTTCTCATAAATTAATTAGAATTATTGTGACAAGAATTTGAATAAAACATTTAAGATTTTACTGTTTTGAAGCCCAATTTTATAATATTTTTTATTACTGTTTAAAACAAATGCTCCAGAATATCTAAAACTGGAGCTGATAAATTTACACGTTGATACAAATCTTATTCAAAGAACAGAAAATACAAATGTGATTCACTTTTTTCGTATATCTCAAAAAATAAATACCTTCAGTTAAATACCTGTCTTTTTGGGGGAATACGTTTATATACGAAAAGCCTTTTTTCCGCAGTTGAAAATTAATAAGTCTAAGAAAAGAACCAGATTGATCGATGAGAATTTACAACTTGTGATAAAGATAGTTTCTAGTAATTTTTATCCAAGGTTACAAATTTATTAAAATCGAAACACCATGAGATAGTTGTAGCTGTAGGTTGCAGTAAGAAATAAAGACGGTTATAATTATTTCAATAAAAATATTAATTTTTTTTATATAAGACGAAGAAAAATTTAGTAAATAGAAAAAATGAGAATAGTTTGTCATTATTTATTCTCATGTTCCCGTGCTTCGTAACTTGTTTATTTTTAAGGTAGTGGTTAATTTAACGTTTTAGAATTATTTTAAGTAAATGTCAGTCTTAAAAATTAATATTTAAAAATCAACATGCTAAAATTGCAAAGTGCAACGCACTGAAATTCTTGAAGACACCAGTCTCTAGGTTTCAGACAGAGAGGAAGTCTAAACTTAACATTGTTTCCTTTCCTTCATTATTAGTATTGTTTGTATGCTTTAATAAATATTTATTAAATAAAATTCAAAATTTAGTTTAAAAAGGTTTTTGATTTATTAAAAACATTTCATTTTATTGAAAAGATATTTCCTCCTATTAACAGCTTTCATATTGTGCATTTATCCCGCATTTGCGTTTCAGACCACTGGTGTACACCATTTCGAATATAAACAAATATAACTTGTATAACATGATAGTTCTCTAGTTTCATTGTAATGTAATTTTAAGGAAACTGCATTAAACAGGATCTGAAACAACGTAAATGAAAGATAAATTAATGACAAAATATTCTAGTAGATGCAAATAAAATTCTTAAATTTTCTGTTGAAAGACATATAAAAAAATTCAGCTGTTTTTAAAATTTTTTAATGAAGAGAAAATTAAATGAACTACGTTATCATTAAACTTATACGTAAAATAATGAATGAAATGCTTTTCTGATGATTGCTTTATAAATGAAAAATAAGTCCCTAATGTATATCAAAATCTAATTTTATATTTTAATCAGTTTTTTAAAAGAAGTTATTTTTTCTTTCTTTTACAAATGCCTATTTTACTGTATATTTCTTCATTTTATAATTATTCACCGGTTTTAGAACGCAAAGTTTCTCATTCACGTTTCCGGGCATATTACACGTGATTTCATTATGCAGATGATTTGTATAATTATTGCATTATAGGAACGGCGACAATTTATTTTTAGAATTTTCAAAGCTTTTCTTAATTTTGAAACATTCTATATGTAAATACAAATACATAAAGGAAATGTAAATCATAATACTTATGACTGTACATAACATTATGCGCTGATATTTCTTAAGTATGTAGTGCAAAGAAAGAAAAAAGATAGTGATGTTTCTCTTCTACAATTCTGCCCATCAAATGTTTAGAATCTTCGGAAAATTCAGTGAACATCAACGGAACTAAATTACTATTTAAATCTACTTTTAGCAAATACAAATAATTTAAGAAATTTTAGCAGAATTTCTTATTATATATTGTGACAATACTTATTGACCTTTGACCTCTTTTGGATCCTTTTCTGTTTATATGGACGTAGGAATGTACATACATACATATACACGTACTGTAAATATTATTCTTTAGATTCAGGGTCAACAGAAATTGATATTTCAGTAAAACTGAGTAATTCAAATTTTTCGTTATTAGCACATTGCATTTCATGGAATAATAACTGAGAAACATGAAAAAAAAATTTTTTTTCTCGGATTTTTCCACTTACTGCATCCTTTTGCGCATGTAAAGAAAATGGAGTATGACACCGAAGTGACCGAAACGATCTTCATAGTTTTGGAGTTCTCCCCCCCAATTGCAAGTGCATTCTATTCCTATTGAAGCCATATCTAGCGAAGCAGTCTGCTGCCGAGGTATTTCGCTACAGTCAAGGCAACAACTCACCTCTACTCTGCGTTGAGATTCCACCATCTTGCGATGAATGGAGACATCCGGAGGATGGAGAGGACTTTTCGGGATGACACAGAAAGATCTCCCTCACAGAAACGCATCGCTGAGCGTCTGGTTTGCTATTCACAGTAGCCGCCTCGAACTGAACTATACTAGATCGAACTGCTAAATTGGCGACTTTATTGCTTATTTGGCAGCATTTCTGAAATCTGAAAAGGAACATGCCGCGGTAAACTTCAGCTAAGCATTTCAAACTTAGGATATCGCTAACGGCTAATTTATAATATTATTTACTAAAATTTTAGGGAAAGAAAACTAAATAGTTTTGCCTTGAAAAATATGATTTTATATAATCGTTTCAAGTGTATGGTAAAAAACTTTACCTTGTACGTTTTCTCCTCATTTGGTCATAATCAGTTAGGTAATTTCAAATAGTTGTAAAAATTGCTTTAATGGAGACGTTTTTATATTTTTTCTTTAACTTTCCTTAACATTAATTACATCATAATAATATTAAATTAAATTAATAGAAAAGTTAATTTAATATGTATGTTTAATATATCTACATTTGTTTCCTTGGGATGGTGTAAATTTTTATAATGCTTTCTGTCAAATAAAATGTAAAGATAGGAAAACTACGTATTATTATTATAACAGTTTATTTTTAGTTATTTAAACTGATATAAACAGACTACTGAGCTTGTAAAATAAAAACTTCTTTACATTTTTTATTTAATAGGTATTTGAGGAACTTAATTATTACTTGTTTAATTAATTATAAACTAAGTATTTTCTTGTCAAGTAAAAATATAAAATGAATTATTTCAGAACGATTTTTTTTTTCATTTCGTATATCAAGAATGTTAAACATCAAATTTATAGAAGGTAGAACGGCATTCCCAACTAACAAACATGGGATGTAACAGCTGGGGATGTAACTGGGGAAGTAACAGCTTTACATCCCCAGCTACAAAATAACTTTACATCGTACCAAAGAAACAAATGTAGATAATATTAAACACACGTATTAAATTAACTTTTCTATTAATTTAATTTAATATTATGGGATTATAATTAATATTTCTGGACGATTTAATTGTAATTCTTTACAGTCAAGAATAAATAAACATTAAATATCGTTCCATGAAGTGTAGAATCAAATCGTAACAAAAACAGATACCATAGTATCAAATTTTATATCAGTTCTGAACAAATAATCTTATTCCCCGGCTTTTTAAATTTAATTTGGTTTCTTCCGTAGCTGTCTGCCCATCATTTAACACTGTAATTTTAGCTAAATGTATTTTTTGTAAGTTATGTGTATTCTGAAAGTTACAAATATGCGCTTAAAATTTGAATATTAAATAATTTCCACAAGACTAGGGAAATACTAAAATGCAAATTAGAAGATCATTTCTTAAAAAATATGTAATTATTTAATGTACGTTAAGGATCCATTTTGGAAGTATCTTACAGGTTTGATGCACATATAGGCAGTTAAGGAATAAAGAAACCCAATTAATCATAAATAAGGCTTCCTCTCAGTATTTGTTTATTTCTGTACCATATTATAATATCAACAGAAAGTGTCCTACAAAAGTTATTTCTCGCCAACTATCGAATGGGTAAGAATCTTAAACATTGGTATTTCTTTCTGTGTCTTCTTCTTTGAAGTTGACTAAATGTTTTTAACACGAATGTTAGTTAATTTCTTTGGAAATATCTTTCCGATATATTTATCTGTATACATATATATAATGAGTAAAAATAAAACGTAAAAATAAATTTATAACTTATCTGTGTTAAAAGATGATGTTGAATTTTGAATTCCTTAAATTTTTTAAGTATGAATCTAATGCAATAACGCCGTAGACTGGAATGCTTTTTCAGAATATCAAATAGCAACGTGGCCTTTAACAGGCGAAAAATGCTCCATCTAAACAATCTAAATAGTATGTCTTTCTACCTCATTTACACTCTGGTAGGGAAACGGAAACTAGGAGTTACGATAAAGATTCAAAAGATAAAATGACTGGTTTGTGAAAAATAACAGTAACTTCCTTACACAGTACATATTCTTAAAAATTCCTTAATTTAAAACAATATACAAAGTAATTCAAAAGCAATTTACTCATTAAAAACTTTATATCTGATAAGAATTTTTCAAGTTATCTAACGCGCTTGCGCAGAAATGAATAAAATGACGGATTTTTTTTTTTTTTTTTTTTTTTTTTTTAAAGAATTTAATGTGCAAATAATTTAACAACATCTCCTATTTCGTAACAACTGTTTTACGCCACAACATAAAATTCATCATTGCAACTACTACTGAATCTAGCGATCATCGATACTGATTGCTACCTACCAAAATGCGATATAATGAAAAGCATAAAAAAAGCATTTTTATACAGATCATTGATGCATGCCGTTTTTCAACTTTGCTAATCAAATTAATTGTTCTCTGTATAGTATCATTTTGTATTATTATGAGTTTAGGTAGCCTCATAATCAAATGTATCAGTTTTGGCTCCAGAAGTTTAGTCGGCCATTTATGATTATTATTACTTGATTATTTCCGAAAATTTAAAATGAGTGCTGCTTGTAGAAGAAGCTATATTAAGGTATTACTCCACCTTGCACATATCTATAGTACCATTTTCAGGCAGGGGCAGTGCTGTTTCGTAATAAGTCGGCAAAATTTGAATTTCTAGAACATTGACAATTTTAGAACAAAAATCATCGATTTTCTATTAAAAAAAAAGTGTCTTGTCTCAATAATGAAACAGGAATCCACGCCAAATTTTAATTTTCGACTGTTGCAATGAAGCTTCTGCATAACGCTTGTACATTTCCATAATTCACTCTGAAACTGTGGAGATTTAAGAGTTAAATGGGCTTCATTCTTTCAAAAAACATTTGACATCTAATTTTCAGTTTCTTCAAATTGCGTGAAAACCAGTTACACAAATATTCAAAACTTTATAATGTTCCGTTATATTAATCTAAGCAGTTATTATCATTTAGGTCTTAACTGTCATTTTTCTCTTCCGTTTCCCTACCAGAATGCAAATCAGGTTTAAGAGCATTTATGGTGAGTTTTTTGGTGCATTGTTCTAACTCTCGAGTTCATTAGTTTCCCTAGCTCAGATAAGATAGTCTTCGGTAGTCTTCGGCTTTGTATTATAATTAGAAGTGTTATATACGGCTTTGTATTATAAGTAGTCTTCGGCTTTGTATTATAATTGCCGACATTTGAATTTTTACGTCAGTGGAAAGATTGATCCAATTTCATGTTAGATAAATAGTACAGTCTTCGACTACTAAATTTAGTTTTAATTTGAAATTTGACTGTTACTTTTTAATTATCTCACTCCAAGCGGTTGGCTGATTTTATTAAGCACGAGACCTGCACTTTATGTTCCAGCTCTGATTTAATAAAAGGGTTTGTTTAGAACCTTCTTAAGACTCTACAGTTCTTTTCAGACATAGCGATGATTCGCTCTATGTTTGCACGAGGAAATAATGGAATTAGTATAATTGGAACGTTATAAAGTTTGGAATGTTTGTATAACTGGTTTTCAAGCAATTTGAAGACTTGGTTAATGCTACGAAAGAACACCAAACTCTACTAACTGAAAGAATTAAATTCATGAGAAAAGTTTGAATTTTGTAAGGATATTTTTGGAGCTCTAGCCTTAACTACGTCGTGGGAAATCTCAGATAGAGTAATAATTTAACTTGAAACTCCTCAAAATCTTGCTTTTCTGTGCATGAAAACGCCAACATAGTGTCTTGTTCTTTTGCAACTGCAAGGGCACTTTGGACGTAGGTCGGTGATTTTCGTTGAAGATGTCTCAAAGAATCAGTTATCTCAAAATTTTTAATCATTTACTCCAGTCCTTTATTGGTTATTAATTCTTTACAACGGTTGCTTTTCTTTGGTTAAAGAAAAGGGAGCAAAATACAAACGATATTTTCTAAATTTCAGAAAAAGAGATTGATCAGCTTGTGACAGTAGGTCGATTAAATGTATTAACTTTTAAGTTAAATCTTTAAGTTAAATTTTCAGTTAAATTTCTTTTGCAGTTGAAAATATTACGTCATCTGCAGTATAACGTCATCTAGAGGTTAGAATTTTAACTAAACTATTTGCATATTAAAAATCGTTTCAGAAAGAGGTCCATGTTATTTTACGCGTTAGTTTGCAAATTGCTTCAAGAAAACGTCAAATGCCATACTCATCGCTTAAATTTAATATTAATTTATTAAAAGTTTAGTTATTTTTGGATCATTTTTATATCATAGGAGACTAGTGCAGCTTATAAACATAGACGGAAAGCAATTGTTTGCTATAACTGGACTATTTTTCTTTGTATAATCCTTAGGTCAGTGCGCAGCCATAAGAAGTCCCCCAATAGCTTGAACAAACGTGTAGAATCTATGTCAGATCTCTCTCCACACAAAGAATTTTCGCTTTACAATACACATTATAACTGCTCTCAGTTACCTCTCATTTACTTTTTGATGCAGGCAAATAATAATAATTTCATAGCTTAATTCTGTCGTAAAAGGTATATTTGCACTTTGTTTTAGAGAAATAAAAATATTTTCTATTTTTAAGTATCTAAACGTTGTGGGAGTATAGTTCGACAAAAAAAGAAGAAATAAATGCTTTCTTTTGCATTACAAGAAGCTTTTATTTTCTTTGTAGGAACACAGCCATCCCATTATCCGGATGTTTTGTATAGTTGACTAAGTTGTGATCATTTCAGTTAACTAGATATTGAGTTCTACTGTACTAGCAAGTTACAAGATACAAATTGATAAAATCAATATGATGCTAATATATCACAAGCAACAAAACGGTAAAAATGGTTTTTCTGCTTAGGAGAAAATTCTACAAAAAAATGAAGGCGAAGTTGGAAGAGCAAACAAAGAAAGCGGTAACATAAAAGTA